CATTGATAGTAATTTAATGACCTTTTCTGACTCAAGAATCAAAAGTTGGACGTCATTGATGAAAAGGAGGCACCGGTGGGATGTATTCTGGCTCAAGCTGTTGTTCTCTTGATGTTTGAATCCAGAGAGGCACAAACTCTTTGCTTAGTTCTAAAAAGAAGAGCCTACAAACTCTTCAGAGACTCTAAAAAGGTAGAGAATGCAGAAAGAGGATGGAGAACAACGGCTCATCGCCCATCGCCTTTTCCAGACCTTCGGTCCGCCGCTGATTCACCTCCACAAACACACTCCACCTTGCCGATATCAGAGCTCTTAAGAACCTTGAGTCAGAGAATTGTGGAATTATTGGACATGTGTTCCATGATGTCATAAATATCCTTGAGATATGACAAGAACAGAATGCTGCCTGTTACCTGTCACACAAGCATTTCTGCTAATAAACCTGGAGAGACGTGTGAAAGATGAAACCATGAATGAGTAGGAATGTTTTTACCTGAATTGGATTAACACACACACAACTCCTTTTATTCTTCCAAAATCATTTGATTTGTATCCTTTGTATAGGCTTTCAAAAGTCTGTAATGAACCTTTGATGCATTTCAGGGGCTTCCGTACATCATATCTTGGAATTACATCTAATCTAGAGCAGAGAATATTGTGTTGGTTCTGTCACTGTCTTTGTCATTGTTGGTTGAAACAGTTCAAAGCCTCACGTTAATGAATGTGTGTCTGGTAAATGAAAATAGGGGGGAAAAATCAAGGCTACATAAGGACTGCAAAAACTATTATTGTAACCAAATACTAGTGGTTCAGATTATATTTTTATTAATTCTTTCTCATTTTATACATAATATCTATTGTTCTGATTACTATTTTTTGATAAAGAAGCTTTTAACTGGGGATTTATTTGCTAGCAGAGAAGATATTACTGGCCACTGGATGGAAGGGGCGATCATAGCCGAACTCTCCCACTGTCAGGCCGCGGAACAAGACAATAAGATCTTTTGTTCATTCATGAGTGTTTTGGAGGAAAACTACACTTGTAAATAACAGTCAGTCAGTCATATATGCCATTAACACTTACAATCTCTTTGACATGTCACTCCACAGTTTGTTTGCTGCCCTGTGATCATATGCTTGTTGTGTGTATTCCCCCTCATTCAAACCAGTAATATTAAAAATATGAATAGTGATTATTATTACCTACTTTGCTGCTTTACTTTTGTTTAACACTCTGTGTTTGTTCATGTTTCTTTGTGGAATGACTTCATCACATTTATGACCAGGGTTATAGATTGCATAAAGTTATATGTGATATGTGCATAAGTCATTAAAATGCTGCTCATATGATCTATTCTATTGATACGGTCAAGCATTTTTGGTATCATGCATTATCTATGTGTTGTAAATGAAATATATTGTAACCTTTACACTCACTCGATATTTTTCATATAGGCAGTGATCACGTGATTAGTTCAAGTAGTGCCATATTTAATTTCTTTGACAGTAATGAAAATGAGGCTGTGAGGGATAATGGATTGTACTGCCATTTAACAGCATACTGATTATTCAGCTGATGAAACATCAGTTTTAAAAGTTGTGAAAGTGATGTGATCTAGGACCTTTATACAGTGTGTGCCTTTGTAAAGACTCTGAGTCTATCCATCACAGCTTTGTTTTCAATATGGTCTATGTTGCTCAACTTGTGTTTTTTTGGAGAAGTTGCAGGGTGGGGTGGCCTTGCTTTTCTTTATACCTAACCAAACACAAACATCTCAATTCAGATTCCAGTTCCTTGGTTCACACCCTCTTTTTCACTGATCCGGACTAGTTTCACTGATGCCAATTGTCTACAGTTCCCATCGCATTATTAGTAGATCAGCTCACTGGTATTGTTATGCAATTAGTAGACACTGGCACAAACTGTACTGTGTGAACCGCATGCAGGTTGGGAGAGTTTTAAATGAATACTTAATGAAAGTATTGACAGGTCTTTCTGCATGCCCTCCTCTAACATCTGTTTTGCAAATAGGTGAGTGACTTTTTTTGGGGGGATGGTTATCAGCCTCATTTAATGTTGGGCCAGAACACAGAGGCTTATGTTCCACTTGTCTGGATTCGAATGGTCAAATGACCATGACCTGAGCTGGTTTAGACTGGAAATTCTCCAGAAAGCTCATATAGGCGAAAACACAACAGGAAACATATAACCACATACAGCCAGAGACCGCTATCGAAACCAGCGCTTACATTTTGCATTTTTCCTGCTTCGTTGGACTGAATAAATATGAATTTTAGATGTCCTGAATGTGGTGTAACCTACATACTCGCCTTCATACAGACTTAAGTCTTGATTAGTGATAATGGTCAAAGCCTAGGTATAATTTCTCTGTAAAGATCATGGTAAATTTTCTCTTTAATCTTTGTCATCGGTTACGTCATTTGTAAATCAAGTAGGCTACTTTCCAACATTGCACAACTAAAGCTGTTAGCATTGATATCATATTTGAATAACTGATAGGGAGGGATATCACTGCATATCCCCACTTTCTGTAATGCAAATATTTGAATCTGTGTAATAGATTGCACAAAATCATAGCCTTCAAATCAATTCATTCACAGTCCCATGACAGCATGGTTGTTATCATTATATGCATTGGGGGACTCAGTGTCTATTCACAATAGCAGTCGATCAACATGGGTTGTTAAATGATAGATTCGTAAACTTTTTACATTTGCCCCCTCTTAATCTGATCAATATTTGGTTGCATCTTTATATGGCAATATCCTAAAGGTTCTGAGTAATGTTTTTTACTAAATGAACATAAGTAATTAAAATAGTTCATATTTAAACATAAAATAACATTATATATATAAATATACTGCGCCTGTGAACAGAAAACATGAATCCCACAAACAAGTCAACCGCGGACTACAAATCCCGTCAAACCCGTTATCCTGGAACTCGATCACGTGACCTATCCGCGCATTCTGATTGGCCACACTGCCCTCACGCGAGGGGCGTCACACTGATACTCAACGATATCCAGAAAATCCAGCCAGGTCGAGCCAGTCAGTCAGTCCACCGGATCCGCAGCGCCGCTCCAACGATAGCGCACTCTTGAAGGACAACCGCTCGCCGCTTACGCAGACAGGTGAGCAAAAACCCGACACTCCCATGTAGTCGATAGAGTATGTTTTAGGGTGTTTCTGACTGTATTTCTGCGCTAATGAAGTTGTTTGTGTCAGTATTGCTAGCTGACTAGCTCCCGTTGCTACGCTGCATGAGACGGTCCGTCTGTTGTTTTCCAGCTTTTTCTTAAAGGGCATTTTATTTTAAACGGTTTAACAGATCGGTATATTAACATAGACGCGTCTAAAAGCTTCTGGCGAACGCGATGAACCCGAAGAATAAAAGTACGTGGTCTAAACCCTCTGTATTAGTCACTTTCAGACTTGTTTGTGTCGGTCCCTGAGTGGTGAGTGTGCCACTGATGGGGCTTTTGTTTGGAGTTTTCATCCTCCTGTCGTCTATTTTCACAAGTTTTTATGTTCATAAAGGGTTCTGGCCAAGTTTCACGTTGTTACAAGAGAAATGACAATAGAAGATGCTGTTTTTGTTTGGGTTGTAAACAAAACGGCTTCAATTTAAAGGAACCGCTCACTCAAATGAAACATTCTGTCATCATTTACTATTGTCTTCCCTAAAACACAAAAAGAGATGTTAGGCAGGATGATAACTAAAGTCACCATTCACTTTTGGTTCATGTTTTTTCCAACACGAAGAAAGTAAAGGGTGACTGATGCTGTCATCATGCATAACATCTCCATTTGTGTTTTAAGGAAGACAGAAAGTCGTGTAAGTTTGGAACAACATGAGGGTGAGTAAATGATGGAATTGTAATTTTTGGATGAGCAAACCTTTTTTAAAAAACAGGATTGAACTGGTAGAGGGCAAACAAAAAGGTGTTTTTAGTATAGTGGCAGTGGGAAAAAAATAGTAAGCGTTCCAGTTGAAGTCTATGTTAAGCAAGTGTGAAAGTGGTTGACCGCTTGCTGTTGATCTTATTGACTTGTCATCACTACAGGCATTTCTGACCTAGTATTCGTTTGCCTCTCATGAGTACACACGTTTCTTCTCATTGTTTACATTATGAGGCTGAATTCCCTCAGTCATAGGGCTGGACGATATGGCCAAAATTTATATCTCAATATATTTTTTTAAATCGGTCGATACGATATAATTCTGATATCGATATGAACACCCACAACAGATGTCTGTTCCTATAAATGAATTTTCCAAGTCTATGAAACCTCCTATAAAACTATATAATATTTAAGAAAAAAACAGCACAAATAAATTAATGTTTACATTATATCAAACTATAGGCTGACATACACTACCAGTCAAAAGTTTTTATGTTTTTTAAAAAAGTCTTTTGCTCACCAAGCCTGCATTTATTTGATCCAAAGTAGACTACAGCAAAAACAGTAACATTTTGAAATATTTTTACTATTTAAAATAACTCTTTTCTATTAGAAAATATTTTAAAATGTGATTTTTATTCCTGTGATTTCAAAGCTGAATTTTTAGCATCATTACTAAAGTCACCAGTCACATGATCCCTCAGAAATCATTCTAATATGCTGATTTGCTGCTCAAAAACATTTATTATTATGTTGAAAACAAAGGAGTAGAATTTTTTCAGGTTTCTTTGATGAATAGAAAGTTCAGAAGAACAGCATTTATCTGAAATAGAAATCTTTTGTAACATTATGAATTTTTGATCAATTTAAAGCATCCTTGCTAAATAAAAGTAGTATAAATAAAATAAAATTGCAGCGCTAAATAAAATGTCTATAATTTCAAATAGAAAGCAGTTATTTTAAATAGTAAAAATAATTCAAAATGCTACTGTTTTTTTTCTCTTTTTCTCACTAATAATAAAATCATAATATAAACTTTTTATTATTGTTGTTATTATGCCATTATTTTATTTATTATTGTTTAGTATTTATATACACATTATTTTTAAGTAGTTTTTTTGTAGATTTATGCAAATACATACATTAAGGTAATTTGCTTGTGAAAACTGTTGTTTGATGGTGATATTTCATGCTGTTTGTTTTTAAAGAGCAGTAGACATGATATTAAAGAACCAATAACCTATTAAGAGGAAAGTGTAATTAGTGCTGTAAAAAAATTAGTGCTGTGTTCAAAATATTGATACGACGATGTATCGTCACAGAGATTTGACGATACGAGTATCGATACAGCTGGCCCTGAATCGATACTGTGGCACGTGTGCAGCAGTGGACCACGCTTAATTTTACAATGTTTAAAATTGAGTAGAAAAGTGTGAGGTTTCTAAAAAAGAATGAATAGAGCATCTGTTAATAATCTGGCCGCAGAGGAACACAATGGGGTTGCCTGATATAAAGAAACGTAATCCCCAAAACAGAGCTTTACACTTGCGCAATACAGAAATATCTACTAAACGTGCTACTTATCTTTGTCAACCTGGCAACCCTGTGCTCACACGCTCTCTCGGCCATAAATCATCCTTGAGCGTGTGTGCGTTAGATACAGTGAAGAAAGCGCGTTAGTTTAGAACTCTTCTAATTTTTTAGTGTGTTAATTTGTGCAATAATAACCTACCAGCAATGTAAATAATTTTTTTAACATATTAGAATGAGTACATTACAAAATAAATGTATTAGAACAAGTACATTATTATTTATGGGCTTAAAAACAAGATGCAAACAATCAGAATATTGTACCTGGTGGGGAGTGCACAATGTAAACATGAAACATATGCAATTACCTATATTGTACTGTGGTACAGTTATGGAAGCCCTTCATAATGCAGAGGTCAGCAGCCTGCTCTGCCAATAGCTAGAAATGGCACTTTAGAATGCAGTGTTTAATAAACAGCTGTTTTTCTAAATTCTGCAGAGGTGAAATTCAGTGCAGTCATGTATCGTGATACGTATCGTATCGTGGCCTCTGTATCGTGATGCGTATCGTGACTTTGCTGGTGATACACAGCCCTAGTGTTAATGTTGGTCAAACCGATTATCGGTCCATCTCTCTATTATAGTGTCAGCAGTAGTTGTGGGCCTCTGCAGTGTGGAAAGGCACCTTATCAGAGAGGCTGATTGTGTGCCATTGATCGACAAAGCAAACATCTTTTAAATGTCAAGGGAGCCGCTCAACTCCTGAAAATCTTAATTGATTTTGGTTTGGCTTGTGGTAGGTGTGAGAGCATAAAGTGTGTTTAAATCCAAAATACAATGCGCTGTGCGGCACATCAGCTTGTCATTCCTCACTTCCCAAAATCTGAACAAGGTGGGATGACGTTGCCAAGACGACCGTCTCCACTGTGGCTCATCCTGTTTGTGTAGATGTACTGGAGAGCTGCTCAGTAATCCATTTAATTTTGCCTTAGTCTATTCATTCTGACACCAGCAGTTTCTTTAGTCCTCTATGGTGAATTGGAGGTTTAGGCAAAGCTCTAAGTTTGACCTTGGTCACACTGGTTTGTTCATGAGCTGGGCATGGGTCAAAGCAAATGAAGCATTTGACAATCTGGTATGTCCGTGGCAAATGGTGAGTTGTGAAGGACAGGTTAACCTATTTCTGCATCATGACTTGTAGTTATTATTATTCAGTGTCAGATAGTGATGCACCAAAAATTCTTGACTGAAATCAAAAATATTTTGCTCTGATTTAGCATCGGAGTGGCTGATGATGCAGTTCATATATTTTTTAACTCAGATGAATGTCTATCACAATTTTTTCTAATATAGATTAGCAGTCGGATTTTCCTCTTTAACTCTCACAAAGGGCCTCTTCCTCTCTGACAGCAGTTCAGTGCTGCGCTGGTGGTCAGTCCTGGTCTCATGACCGACAGACGGCACACAAAGGCACCTCTAACCCCTTTCCTCGCTCTCTTACCCAGTCACATGACACGCACACAATGACTGGCTCCATCATAGTGTTGGGCGATATGGTAATTTTTCAAATCGTCATATCGCCAGTCCGTGAGATCGCTGATAGACGATATTATCGTGCATGGGTGGGTGGGGGCAAGAGAGAGACTCCCTGTACTTGTCATAGGCTATTTCATAACGGTTTGGTGTTTTAAACCGTGTGCGTGGTTTTAATTGTTTTACCTTAAATTTAATTTACCTTAGATTTACGGATTAATTGTTCACCTTAAGACTAGCAATGTGCGCTAGCAAAATAAATATTGTAAATTTTGATTTCATGCATACTTTAATGACGCACAACTTAATGACTGTTAAAGTTGGTTATGTTGAACAATTTAGATCTTGAGAATCGATAGATTGTGTGTGTGAGTGAGATGTTATTAACATAAATGGAATTCTCATGCAGTCGCTACACAATCTGAGTCACATGCATGTCACATCATATACGTGACTCACTGGGTTGGCAAAGCTCTGTGGCATTCCTGAGGTTCAACTGCTGTCAAAACATAAAAGCTGTGCTACAGTTCCATGAATCACCACTTCCTCCTTTGAATTTGCGTGTGTGTGACTTTCTGTTAACCGAGAGGTGGATCCAGTATAGCTTTTCACGTGTCTGGCGAAATGCAAGCATTTCTCTGTCCAATTTAGTCAGTCATCCAAGTAGCACACGTGACGGTATAGTGTGCAACATCATGTTCGTAGGCAAGACAACATGGCACCTCATGGCAAAGAACTCTCGGAGGATCTGAAAAAGCCCAATTTGGACATTTTCAATTAGGGGTGTGCTCACTTTTGTGGCCAGCGGTTTAGACATTAATGGCTGTGTGTGGAGTTATTTTGAGGGGACAGCAAATTTACACTGTTTTAAAATTTTACACTACTTTACATTGTAGCAAAGTGTCATTTCTTCAGTGTTGTCACATGAAAAGATATAATAAAATATTTACACAAATGTGAGGGGTGTACTCACTTCTGTGAGATACTGTACATAAACAGAATATATATATACATAAACACGTTTTTTGCTATGATCACTCAAATGTGTGATCAAACACTTTTAATGACGTGACAAAGATATGTAATAATGGAGGCAGGGCATTTAACAATTTAACAAACTTTATTATCCAAAATGAGTCTGACATTAGTGCACTGAACAGTAAAGTTGAAGTTTATTAAACTTTAATTCAATTCCATTCCATTCAACTTTATTCCTTCTGAAGCTTATTTCACTTTGGAACATTCATTCACGGATTTGTGCTACTGTCTTCACACACTGATGAAACTTACTAGAGAAGTGTGACGATATACCTCTGTAAATAAATATAAATTGACCTCCCGCGCACTTTAATGCCCTTTGAATGTAACGTGTACGTTCCCTTGGAACTGGAATCAGAATGAGCTTTATTGCCAGGTATGTTTACACATACGAGGAATTTGTTTTCGTGACACAAGCTTCCACAGTGTAACAGAATGACAGCGACAGAACAAAAAAACACAGATAATTAAAAATAAATAAAGAATAAAAAATATATAAATCAACAATTGTGTGTACAGGTATATAACAATAGACAGTTGTATGTACAGGTATATTATGTGCAAATTGAAATGTAGACCGAGTATGTGTGTTAGATAAATAAGTGTATGAGTGAATAAATAGTGTGTGTTCCACAATTATTGTCAAGTGTTCATGAGATGGATTGCCTGAGGGAAGAAACTGTTCCTGTGTCTGGCCATTCTGGTGCTCAGATCCACTTCGCAGGGCACGTACGGTAGAAATAAGCCAATGCTTGAATGCTGCTGCATGAACAAGAGACCTCCTTACTGAAGTGAAAGTGTTGGCTGGTGTCACTATCTCGCAAATGCGCCGGGGGATCCCTTCATCTCGAGGAGCCCTCTCGAACGCCACCCTCGGCGTGTCGGAAGCCCCCCGGGATCGCTAGATCAGTGAATTTAACCACCCGTAACTCCCGAATCCCGGGGCTATCGACGCGGGGGTGGTCTCATTCGAAAGAGGGCCTCAAGACGTACACTCGATTAGAGTTCGAGAGGGTTCCTCGAGCTGAAGGGATCCCCTGAATTTCGTGCGGATTCGCCACGCCTTTACGTAGATATGGCCGTTCAAAGTTTCAATGGTTTACCATAGACTTAAGCTTTAAAGCGTTTCATCCAGGTAGCCAGTAGCAAACAATGGAGCATGCTCTGCTGGACAAACTAAGTAATTACACCATTTCAAGCATTTTATCTGCGTTATGTTCTTTAAAAAAATTCTCATATCGGCAGCATATTCGCTGATACGATAGATCGGCAACGAGGCTCATATCGGCCGATAATATTGGCTAAACGATATATCGGTCGTTCTCTAATCTGTATAAGTGTGTTTAAGCTTTGTTCCCAGGAATACTGCTAGGTAGGGATGCACGATATATCGGCCACCATATCGGTATCGGCCATGCGCGCGCGCATTGGGCGGAACTCTGCTGTGCGTGATACAGACGTAGAGACCGAAATTCCATGCTGTCGTGTAAATAAGATAAATAACATAAGGCTCTTTAGTTTGCTTAATAAAAGATTATATAGGAAAGGTAACTTTAAATTACTTCTGTTGTGATCTGGCGCTATAGAGAAATAAATAAAATTAGCTTGACCCTCAAGGGGGACGGGGGGTGCCCTTGGGGGGGCGGGCCCCCCTAAAATAATGTAAATTATATATTAACAGCAATAAGCAATTCCTCTGACAAGTAATTTAGTTAATTAGCCTAACTAACCATTTTAATGGTTTGTAGCAACTTGGCACATTAGAAATTAATTTGATGTGCCTTAACAGGTGTTTGTGTGTAGGCTCTTTCACAATGGCTCTTCTGATCAGATTTTAGACTCCGAACATTTAGAATAAAAGTGTATAAACCACAAACTTCACTTATCTATACCAAAGGACACAGAAACCTCCATTTCAGCCACACTGAAATGCATGTATAAAGTATTTTAGGATCACGAGTAGCTTGTACTGATTGCTTACAAATTCTCACTCAATAAGAAAAGTGCGTTCACTTGAACTCAATGGATTGTTTATAAAAGCTAATGAACTATTAACGAATGCTTTATAGTGACTGCACACACTCTAATTTGCATCTGCAGTCCATTATGGCCCCTGAGTCCAGCAGATTCATCATTTGAGGTGTGGCATACAGAAGAATTGCACGGGGATCATGTACTTGTGCATTATTTGTTTCTGTGAGCTATAATTACTTGCTACAGTCCAATATAGACAGAGTTTTTTAGTATCAGAGGAGTCTGTACAGGCTCAAAAGGTTGTCAAAGGATCTGTGGAGCAATCCAGATTGGTTTAGATGAGGATCATAGGAATATGCCTAGGGAGAAAGAGACGGTTACATTAAACTGGCTGAGTTGAACTTTTCCTGTTCATTTGGTTAGATATTGCTTGTTTGTATTACGTGCCTGATTTTGAATAATTTGTATCTATGTCTCTACGTCAGCTACATGTTACACTGATATGCAGATAGCTCTAACATTGTTAGCAGATTTAAAGAGAACTCTTTGTTATTTGCATATATCCAACACAAATACCCACAGTGGTTGTGTATTGTGTAATCTGACTTGGGCAATGTTTGTGTCAGTCATTGTGATCCACGTGGCAGTTGGCTGCCGAGGCTGTGGCGTGGTGTGGTCAGACAGGGCAGGTGTAAAACTATCCTATCCCCAGAGCAGACACCCTACTGGCTTTTCTGGTTAAGGTAGATCCACGACAACAAGGCCAGGCTGATGAAATTTTAAACAGTCCTCAGGACTCAGTAATATACACTGTTTGGTGTTTATTTTGCATCATGTTTCTTGTGGACGTGGTTGAGTATTTGTGTCTGATTGCACAATTTAGGACTAGCGTTTTTGTACAACTGAGAGAAATCAGTTTTAAATTTAATGAAGGTCTAATTGAATCATATGTCCATCAATACACAGGAGAGACTGGTGTGTGAGCATACCTGGAAAATGAGAATCAACTATTTCCCCTTGAGTATGCCAAAATTGTCCTGGTTCACACAAGCAGCTATAGATTTTACACTTTTGTGCATTATGTTTGCATGTTTTTTCCCCTTGTATTTGAATATGCCTGTCCATTTATTTTTACGCTCCATATTTTCGTTAAATGTTGTTCAGTGTAAAGTTTGATAGATGAGCATCTTTGGCTGTTACTGGACCAATTTGAAGAATATGGTGGTGGGATAAACTAATTTTATTGGATTGTAATATTTCTTACTCCTCTGAGAAATTTTTTTTATTCTGTTGATACCAAGATATCTCGATTGCCCCCAGGTGACTGGCTGCAGTATAGGTCACAAACCCCGCCCTCTCCATGTAATGTAAGGGGACAAACTAAATAATCAAATTACACTTTAAATAATTTTTTTCCAAAGACATAGTGTCATTTTAGGTAGTTCTTAGCATGCTGATGTAGGACTGCACGATTAATCGTATTTTAATCTCGATAACGTTATCCACCTTTCTCGATTAATTAAAAATAATCGTCACGATATTGGCCAGCTCGTTATTTATCCTGAAAATGTGTTTTTAATTTGGCATTTGCGTTATCTTGCATTGCTAACAAGTCTTCACTAGCGTTTATTCTTGTGGTTGCCAGATGTGAAGAGATTAAGTCCCCAAAACAGAGCTTTTCTCCTTTAAGGATACACTTTATGCCCGGTGTTTTATTTAATCTGTGCAATCTGGCAACCCTGTGTGCACATTTACTAATGGCGGAACAAGTGCTGATGATAAGAAAACATACATGTGCTGGAGTTTAGCGATCTCTCCACAGCAATTTCTTCTTACATGAAAGTGTCATACTAGGGATGTAACGGTATGAAAATTTCTTATCATGGTTATAGTGACCAAAATTATCACGGTTATCAGTATTATCACGGTATTGTTAAAATGGGCTGGAGATGTTAAAGTACCGACACATAAATCACTTCAAGTTTTATATTTAAAAATCAACAAACAACAAATAAAATGACTTTTTGTTTGCATAATCACTAAAACAATAACATTACCAATGATGTTTGGATTTTAAATGACAACTTAACTGACAACAGTTTAATAGCATGTTGAAATATCTAATGTAAATGTTCCAATAAAGCTTTGAAAAAGTTTAATAAAAAGGTAAACCACATTTCAGCCTTTAAATAAAAAGATACAATTCTAAATGATAATTGACTAATAAATTATATGTATTTTATCTGCTCCATAAATAATTCTAGATAACTTATCTGAATTGTTTAAATGTGTAGAATCCACATAAGCTTGTTTTTCATCATCCAGTCAAAATTTACAGAAGGGCATGCAAATTTGGTCCGTTTTTGGCCAGACACAATCTGCACACGGGCTGAATGTAAATATAGGTCTCTGTAATTCCACTCTCTGACAACAGGTGGCGCTTATGGAAAAACTGAATTAGAGCTGTTTCCCGTAACCTCCGTGGACAAAGCAGTATTGCGATTAAGAACACTTCCTTTAGGAGTATTTGTGTCTGATTGCACAATTTAGGACTAGCGTTTTTGTACAACTGAGAGAAATCAGTTTTAAATTTAATGAAGGTCTAATTGAATCATATGTCCATCAATACACAGGAGAGACTGGTGTGTGAGCATACCTGGAAAATGAGAATCAACTATTTCCCCTTGAGTATGCCAAAATTGTCCTGGTTCACACAAGCAGCTATAGATTTTACACTTTTGTGCATTATGTTTGCATGTTTTTTCCCCTTGTATTTGAATATGCCTGTCCATTTATTTTTACGCTCCATATTTTCGTTAAATGTTGTTCAGTGTAAAGTTTGATAGATGAGCATCTTTGGCTGTTACTGGACCAATTTGAAGAATATGGTGGTGGGATAAACTAATTTTATTGGATTGTAATATTTCTTACTCCTCTGAGAAATTTTTTTTATTCTGTTGATACCAAGATATCTCGATTGCCCCCAGGTGACTGGCTGCAGTATAGGTCACAAACCCCGCCCTCTCCATGTAATGTAAGGGGACAAACTAAATAATCAAATTACACTTTAAATAATTTTTTTCCAAAGACATAGTGTCATTTTAGGTAGTTCTTAGCATGCTGATGTAGGACTGCACGATTAATCGTATTTTAATCTCGATAACGTTATCCACCTTTCTCGATTAATTAAAAATAATCGTCACGATATTGGCCAGCTCGTTATTTATCCTGAAAATGTGTTTTTAATTTGGCATTTGCGTTATCTTGCATTGCTAACAAGTCTTCACTAGCGTTTATTCTTGTGGTTGCCAGATGTGAAGAGATTAAGTCCCCAAAACAGAGCTTTTCTCCTTTAAGGATACACTTTATGCCCGGTGTTTTATTTAATCTGTGCAATCTGGCAACCCTGTGTGCACATTTACTAATGGCGGAACAAGTGCTGATGATAAGAAAACATACATGTGCTGGAGTTTAGCGATCTCTCCACAGCAATTTCTTCTTACATGAAAGTGTCATACTAGGGATGTAACGGTATGAAAATTTCTTATCATGGTTATAGTGACCAAAATTATCACGGTTATCAGTATTATCACGGTATTGTTAAAATGGGCTGGAGATGTTAAAGTACCGACACATAAATCACTTCAAGTTTTATATTTAAAAATCAACAAACAACAAATAAAATGACTTTTTGTTTGCATAATCACTAAAACAATAACATTACCAATGATGTTTGGATTTTAAATGACAACTTAACTGACAACAGTTTAATAGCATGTTGAAATATCTAATGTAAATGTTCCAATAAAGCTTTGAAAAAGTTTAATAAAAAGGTAAACCACATTTCAGCCTTTAAATAAAAAGATACAATTCTAAATGATAATTGACTAATAAATTATATGTATTTTATCTGCTCCATAAATAATTCTAGATAACTTATCTGAATTGTTTAAATGTGTAGAATCCACATAAGCTTGTTTTTCATCATCCAGTCAAAATTTACAGAAGGGCATGCAAATTTGGTCCGTTTTTGGCCAGACACAATCTGCACACGGGCTGAATGTAAATATAGGTCTCTGTAATTCCACTCTCTGACAACAGGTGGCGCTTATGGAAAAACTGAATTAGAGCTGTTTCCCGTAACCTCCGTGGACAAAGCAGTATTGCGATTAAGAACACTTCCTTTAGTTATTACATGGAGCGAGTGTATGGAAAGCAAAGTTATAAAATTAGTGTCATTCATTTCTACTCTGCGTGGTGTGCGCACGTAAGACTGTTACTTAAAACTGTGCTTTATGCTGGACAGTATTTATTTATCGTGAGTTGTTCAAATCGCGGTAATCTAATACGGTTTTAATGAAAAGATGAAACGGTAATACTAACCGTGGGGAATTTTATCATGATTTATCGTCAAACCGGTAATCGTTACATCCCTATGTCATACAGCCATAGCGTGCATGCGCACAGCAGTGCTCGTTCACTCGCGTGCCTCACCCACTCCTAACAGCAAAATGGATATGTTTGCATGACTTTCTAACATTTACAGATGAAATGTATTATGTCAGTTATGCACTGAGGAAACCACAACGTCTCAAATGCATTAAACAGCACAGATATATTCGCTGTTTGTCATGGTGGATCGATTGAATCCATGATCGACATTAAGGTCTGCTTAAGAATAAGCGTGCACAAATTAGTGAGATTGTGTGAATTTAATTTGTCGTTAATGGAACCGCTTTAGTCCCAATTGATTTGTTAGGTTATTTCAAGCCATGTTTTGGACTTTAATCCCTGTTTTTCCTCGGGTCTCCGTGGTGTTGTGATTTGTCATATTCACGCAGCAGCGGTGATGAGAGAGCGCGCTTGAGAGAGTTTAGAGAGGAGAAATCAATCTACATATAAAATATTGGTCACTTTCTAAATAATAAAAGTATAGCGCATCCACTAGTAATTATATATAAATGAATCTATTTTTACCGATGTACACTTTTTAAACCGATGCTTTTTATGCTGATGCACCGAGCGAATCGGGGAATCTTCCCATCCCTACTCTTCAGATGAATTGACACTGATAACTCAGTCTCACCATACACAGTCAGAACTTCCTCTGGTGCTTTCCAGTTTGTGGTATTTCTGTGGTACAGCTTGTTCTCCTTTCTAATCAGAGACACATTATTCATTTCACCATCAACATGTTGCCTAATTGTACTTGTTAATTTCTGTAGAAGCCAAACTAGAGGAGTACATTTGTCAAATGATCTCACGTAAAGCCAGAATGTCTGCAGATTTGTAAACATTTGCAAACTGTTGAGTTCCTTAACAATTGTATTTGTTATCAATGTTTTGGTAATTAGCTTGATCCATGGTTCTCTTTCTGGAACTCGGGAAGGAAGATATTTTTGGATAAAGAGCATTATTAATTCCAGCTTCCTGTCCCTCCAGGGATTCGGTTGAAAAATCTGTTTTTGAGTTGTGTTTCTATGTGCACATGAAGTGAGAGTTTGAGTGAGCATGTTATTGTCATGTGTGTGACAACACTGGTGCTGGGGTTAGTCTGTATAAAGGTCTGTTCCTGATTGAGCAAGAAACTGTGGCTCCACTGTGCCTAACATGTGATGTTTATTGTGGAAAGTAAAGGACTGAAGACTGGTGGAGGGAAGGGGAAGATTAAGAAGAATGGATGGCCGGTGGTCCCCGGACTCTGTGGTTTTACAGAATGGTATTAACAGTAGGATTCTTAGTGAGCAAAGACGGAGGTGGTGGAAAATTAGTCCTCTGGACAGTCTTGCTCCCATAAGGGATTTACACAAAATCTGTGAATGCAGACTAATTGTCGACCGATATTGGTTTTTTTGACAGCCGATGGCCGATATAAAAATATAAAGCTGATATAATTTTTTAATATTTAAGAAATTTTAAATCATTTGAAAATGGATTAAAAAATAAATAAATGTGTAAAATAAACTTGCTTATAATTTAAATGACAAAGTATTTTTCACAAATAAACAAATATTTAATAATAAATATAATTAAAAAGGAAGTAAACACTGTAACCAACAGGGCTCTCAGTATTCTGGGAAGTTTGTGTGCATTGGGAATCCCATTTTTTTTCAAATAAAGCCAAGGTAACACTCATTTTACATACAGGACACAGTGAAAATTACATTAATATGACATTGGGCAAAAGCATGAAGCGCAGCATAATTTGAAATCACAAGTTTAAAGTTTGTCGATTGCGCATATCAGTGAAGTTGAACTCTCCTCCTGTCTGCATTCAATTCGCACGGACCGACCGTCACGCAGAGTACACGCAATCATGCAGGATACAAATGCACACTTCACAAGATCTCACAGCTGGATTCGACTAAGTTTGCAAGGCTTTTGAAATTAGATGTTCATTAGTCATTCAAAGATTTGTTTAAATAATGTAAATGTGTATTTGCTGAATGCTGATGGCAAACGAGAAAGTATTATGATGTTTGCCTTTCTATTACTAACGATATAAAAGCAATCGTTATAATACTTTTTTGTATACATTTTAATTCCTTTGTTTAACAGTTCTATCTGATTATTAGACAGACTTCTGTCCGTGGACAGAACTGTTAATAACGACAGCGAACAAGAGGGAGAATGTGAGCACTGTGTGGTCAGGTGCTGCTGTTCTCAGCGCCGTTAAAATAAAAGTCCCGCTACGAACGCATCGGCCAAACAGAAAAACTTATCGGCCGATGCTGATATTTGAAAAATGCCAAATATTGGCCGATATATCGGTCGATCACTAATGCAATGTGTGAATAGCTAGTTTTGTGAGTATCCAGGCAGTGTGTATCAGGCTAATCTTACTGTAACAAAGGTTATCTATGTGTAGCATTTGAGAAGGTATTAAAATGAAAACACATTTAAACACAAGCTAAGCCATGACTGACGCTCAGTCATGTCATTTATTTTTCTGCTAGCATTAAATGATTGTTGTCCATCACAAATAGTGCTGGCCAAACCTGCTTAGCTGGATTGCATTCTGTTTCAATGAACCAAGGACAAATATGTTGTTTTGCAGGACAAATCTGTGGTTCAGGCTGTGAGCTGGGGCAATGTGGTGCTCTACAGACAGGGAAATGAACTAAACCTGTTGCTTCCAGGAACTTCTCAGATGGTTGCTCAATCGCAAGGCCTGGAGCGCACATGCAATCATATCCATAGATTTTACTCCATGTCCAATTCTGCTGACCATTGACTGACCTTCAAACCTTGACTGATGTTATCAATGCTGAGATGAGGGGAAACTATCAGAAAGAGACTTTCACTACACTACAGTTCAAAATAATGGGGTCAGAAAGATATTTTTGTAAGAAATTAGTACTTTTATTCAACAAGAACACATTAAATTGATCAAAAGACAGCAGAGACATTTCAAATAAAGGATGTTCCTTTGAACTTTCTAGCCATTACAGTTTAATTGCATTTTAAAATAAGTTTTTAAATTGTAATAATATTCCACGATATTGCTGTTTTTACTGTATTTTTGATATATCCTTGTTAAGCATAAAAGACTTCCTTTTAAAACATTAACAAAAAATACTACCAACCCCAAACATTTGAATGTTAGTGTCCATGGTAGCATCTGACCATTGCTTAGCCTATCAAATCTACATGTACTTTGGGGGAATGTAAGGGAAGTAACTTTCAGATGTAATAAAATGGTCTGGTTCAGAGATATGTAGGTGTGGTAGCTGAACTGTTGTAGCCTCTGAACTAGGGTTGTGACATTGAGGAAATTTTCCCACCGGTTAATCGACGTGTGACAATACCGGTATCACCGCGGGGGCGGGGGCGTTCCCTCTTTTCCTCGCTTTCCTTCGCTTTTAAATAGCTTGTAAAAGCAGCGTGCGCATTTTACTTTCACTTTGAAATAGCGGCAATTCGGTGTAAAGCAATTGTTCGTTTTTAGTTCGTTTGAATTTTTCCTCTTTTCCTCATTTTCCGTTGCTTTTAAATAGCTTAAAAGCGCCTTGTGCATTTTACTTTCACTTTTGAATTAGCGGCAGTTAGACGTCAATTGCTTGAATGCAACAACAAAATACAACGTCAAACTCACTTTAGCGTGTATATATAAAACATATAACTTTTATTAACACAACAAATACACCATGCTATAGGGCAGGCTATGCCTAATATAAAATAACAAATAAATTAGTTTAAATAGCCTATTTCCAGTTTTGTATACCTAAGTAAACATATGTAATATATAACCAAATAAATAAGAAACGTTGGACGTTTATTAGCAAAACGAGTAAGAAAGCTTGGAGGCACACCTTGATGTCAAATAAAATAAATAAATGACACAAAGTTTAAATAAAGTAAAAATCAGCAAACAATGTGGAACCAATTAAATAAGAAACAAATGTTTTAAAAAAAAAACTTCCAAAATCACCTTAGATAAACGGCAAAAGTCAACAGGCTTTTCAAAATCCAAAATATTGCAAAAAATTGCTTTTGCATTTCGTTTCAAAACTAAATCATCCGTGATCGTTTTGTCTGTCTCACCTCACTCTTCTTGTCAGTCAGCTCGACTCGCTCTCCTCACTGGAGAAATTAAATCTGTGATGCGACTGTCGTTCGGCACGCTGCATTGAGCATTGAACTGAGCTCATCTGTCTGAAAAGCGAGGTGTGCTCTGATTGGCCAGCTATCCAGTGCGTTGGGATTGGCCAAAATACTTCAAGCGTGGGACGGAAATGTTACGCACCTTACCATACTGTGATGCCCTATCCGGCCGGAGCGACGAGACAAAAACATTAAAACCCATTATAAACGAGGCATTTGTTGCATGCAGTGGGGACATAATTACGGATTATAATGACTTTGCCAAGAACTTGTAACACTCCAAAGAGAAAGGAAAAATTGAAATCGCATCATATGACCCCTTTAACAAAACAAATATGCAAGCCCAACCCAGGTGACAAAAAGTAGCCTAATGCAAAAGTATTGTAATGCATTACTTTGCATAAAAAGAAACTAAGTAACATAATTAGTTACTTTTTAACGCAGTATTGTAATCATTACTTTTAAAAGTAACTTTGCCCAACAATGCTTAAGAGTCGTATAATGGAAATGCACAATTTTCCTTGATTCTTTGAAATTAAGGCATGCAAAGTACTATATACACTACTGTGCAAATCAGAGAGGCTTGGTCATGTGAAACTAATTTACAACTGTTTCTGTCCAAGAGACCCTGAATAAAATTATATATGGATACTCTTTAGTTTGACTTTGCTACATGAACTTCCCTGAACTCTAAAACTTTAAGTGCATGTATTCAGCAACCGTACTGCAAATGCAGCCACTGATGCATTTTGACCATTGCTTTATTTTCAGCATATGTGACCCTGGACCACAAAACCAGTCATAAGGGTCAACTTTTTGAAATTGAGATTTATACATCATCTGAAAGCTGAATAAATAAGCTTTCCATTAATGTATGTGTAGAGTCAAGTCAAGTCAAGTCACCTTTATTTATATAGCGCTTTTAACAATACAGATTGTGACAAAGCAACTGAACGGCATTAATTAGGAAAATAGTGTCAATAATGCAAAATGACAATAGTAAACACTCATTTTTCAGTTAAAGACAGTTCATCATTGAATTCAGTGATGTCAACATCCAGCTCAGTTCAGTTTAAATAATATCTTTGCAATTATGTCAACGATAACGCTGGAAATGAAGTAAATGATCCCAGAATTTTACTGAAGTGGACTATTCCTTTTGTGTAGAGGTGGAACCTCTTGAGTGTTCTGATAGACCTTTGAAAACTGGCCACTCCGGTAAGTGATCGTGATAGTGAAGTGACATGTGGCCAAGTATGGCCATACTCAGAATTAGTGCTCTGCATTTATCCCATCCAAAGTGCGCACACACACAGCAGTGAACACACACACCGTGAAAACACATTTTTTTGCTGCGGCGCCCAGGGAGCAGTTGGGGGTTCGGTGCCTTGCTCAAGGGCACCTCAGTCGTGGTATTGAAGGTGGGAGAGAGCGCTGTACATTCACAGCCCCCACCTACAATCCCTGCCGGTACGAGACTCGAACCCACAACCTTTGGATTACAAGTCCGACTCTAACCATTAGTCCACGACTTCCATTATGTAATCCTCTTAAGAGAGTAAAGGGCTCAGAGAGTCACATCCAAGAAAGCTTTAATGAGTTGGGTTTGTACAGGCCACTTTGGTGAGCATAAATGTATACAGGCAAAAGTATTGGGGTATTTGGGATGTGTGTGTGTGGTCTGAAATAGAGGAAAATTGTGTAAATATAAAATATTACAGCCTTTCTATTAACTTAGTACAGATGTTAAACATTTACATTCTGAACATAAACGGATAAATAATCGTCAATGGTCTGAAATTCTCTTACAAATTCACAGTTATGATAGTGTAGCATCTCAAACTATCTTAAAATGGCTAACAGATCAAGATTTATATTAAATAACAATGCACTATTGCACGTGAAACTAGCATGTTAGCTTCCTAACGTAGATTAACAAATAACATAATACTTTGCAAATATGCGCTTACAAGATTAACAACATCATCACAATAACATCAACATTATTGACCTGCAAAATAAACGTACTTTTCTGCATGAACGCACACAACTTCAAAGTTCGGATGCTCACTCTAACCCAGCGCGTGTGGTGTATAAAACGCAGTGTCTTAAAGGGAAGGTGTATAGGTATCAGTAAGATGAAAAGATATGCGCCCTCTATTGGTAAAATATTAAAGTGAAACTAAAGGAAAGTACTTTCCTACATTGCCGCCCCCAAATTTAGTATCTAAATTTGTAATAAGATTAACAACATCATCACAATAACATCAACATTATTGACATGCATGTTTCTGCTAGAGAATGCAAAATAAACTTACTTTTCTGCATGAACGCACACAACTGTAAAGTTCGGATGCTCACTGTGACCCAGCGTGTGTGGAGTATAAAGCGCAGTGTCTTAAAGGGGTCATATGATGCTTTTTTTTTTATCATTATTTTGTGTATTTGGTGTAACAGAATATGTTGACATGCTTTAATGTTCAAAAAACACATTATTTTTCAAATACTGTACATTATTGTAGGTCCTCTATGCCCCGCCTCTCTCAAACGCTTCGTTTTCTACAAAGTCCCTCCTTCCGACAAACGCAGTCTGCTCTGATTGGCCAGCTGACCCAGTGCACTGTGATTGGCCGAACACCGCAAGCACTCGTCGGAAATGTAACGCCCCTTACCATAATCGCGAGCTTCATCTTTCAAAATAAATGTAAAGACAGAGCCCGAAAGGGAAACAGAAGCGCGTAACAGACACAGTGATGAAGCTGGTGTTTGCAGTACACAAGCCACGGTTAAGACCGCTGACTCCACTGTGATGTGACCCTCTCTCTCTCTCACTCGCACACACACACAATGCGCAAAACTCCACATTTGAACAGTCAATAGCAAGTACTTCAACTAATAACGAGCCATTTTAGGGGGGCGTGGCAGAGTCTTAACTTTGATAAAGAATATCTCTTTGGTTTTGAGACTTTAGTCTTTGCAACTTCAGGGATCTTATCTATGCACAATCAGCTTGTAACACTCCAAAGAGAAAGGAAAACTTGAAATCGCATCATATGACCCCTTTAAAGGGAAGGTGTATAGGTATCAGTAAGATGAAAGAGATGCGCCCTCTAGTGGTAAAATACTAAAGTGAAACTAAAGGAAAAGACTTTCCTACAGTATGGTTTGTTAGGATAGGACCGTATTTGGCCGCGATACGACTATTTGAAAATCTGGAATCTGAGGGTTAAATCGCCTTTAAAGTTGTCCAAATGAAGTTCTTAGCAATGCATATTTCTAATCAAAAATTACGTTTTGATATATTCACGGTAGGAAGTTTACAAAATATTTTCATGGAACATGATCTTTACTTAGTCACCATGAAATCAAAATTGAAAATTCGTATTTTATTTTGCTAACTAATTTTTTTCATGAATATGGCTTAACCTGATGGAGGACTGCCGTTGATCGTCGTCGTCATCCTTAATAAAAAAAACATTTATTCATGCTTGGGTGTCGGCTGTGAATCCAGTGGAGAGAAATCCCCCACCACTAACTGCAAACTGGCATTCAGATCTGCCTCCATTTTGTTAGCAATGCCCCAGCTTCCAACGATCCAATCAGTTCCCGAAGAACGAAATCAAGTCCCACTCTCTCATTTCAGATGCCGTTTCACTCGGATATATGTCACAGTAGAGAAGAAAAGACAATCGCAACTTCTGTTTCATGCCGACTTTAATATCCTTATGATTTTTGGCATAAAATAAAAATCGATAATTTTGACCCATACAATGTTTTTTTTGGCTATTGCTAAAAATATACCCAAGCGACTTATGACTGGTTTTGTTGTCCAGGGTCACATATGTGGTCTCTTGTTTCTGATCAGTGAAGGAAAAACATCACTTAAACAAAGCTTTTAAGATGCTGGCTGTGTTATTAGGTAGCAGGTGGCGGGAGTCTTACAGCTGAGTCATTCTAAACCCAGCAAATCAGACAGTCTGCTTGTCATGTAGGCTTGGGCGAACATACTGAAGAGTTCAAGTGCATTGGAGTACTTGAAGTGTTTGAAATGTTTCTTCTTTTCTTCAGGCTCTGTAATAAACCTACATGGTGGTTTTATGAGGTGTAGAGCCAGTACTTTTTCTGTATTTACTCTCTCTTTCCTTTACACAGATCTATACGAGTTGTCCCAGCTGTGTCCTCGGCAAACAAGCAAACAGTTTTTTTTCC